GGCTTTAAATAAATGAATAAGATAAACATGTTACTGACTTTTAACGGTAGCATACATGTGTAATAACGATCAACATTGCACTCAGCCATTTAATGTAAATACGTGCAATTGTCCTTGTTAAATGACAACGGGTTCAAGGAATTATGATGTGGCTCAAATTGATTCAAGGTAAACTATTTGCATAAATACACTGATAGGGCAAAACACAATTGAATGCATGAAAATAAGGTTAGGCATTATTGCCAGAAAAACTAAAAACTTGCTCTGCATACAGACTTCGTTCACTACTGAGAGCTGAGTTTTATGCATAGTAGGGCTGCTTGATTATGACAAAAATCATAATCATGATTAATTTGGTCAATATTGTAATCACGATTATTTACCACATTTATTAGTGGGTCATAGGACCAAAATTTTATATGAAAGATTTATTTAAAAGACAGCCAAATTATATATCAAATATATTTTTTCTGTAAATAAGGTTACAATGACATCTACATTTTAGAGAGTGAAATGTTACAATTCTCAATACCACAGCAGAGTACTAAGGTATAGCCTATTTACTTTAATCCAATTTACTGTTACACATTTATTTGCATTCTCACCAGTTTACGTCCATTTATTACATAACCGACGAGGGTTTACGTGAATAATAACTAAGTGCCGTGTTTTGACGTGTGTATTTGACCATTTAGGCGCTAAAAGATGACTTTACAGTGCGTGTTCTGTTCCGTCTCTGAGCACATGCACATAAATCTTCCCAAGGAACAGTGCAAGTTCTCGTTCGTGCTTTTAAAAACATGAATAAATCGTCCCATTTTGCAAAAGTCACGCAACATGATTTTACTGATTTGCATGTGAAATTGGGATTTATGGAGGAGCGAAAACGCACCGCTGAACAATGGGGCGCAATAATTGTTTTATCTTGATTATTGTATTTTCATAACTACTGGAGGCCGAAATCAAAATCGTATTTCGATTAAAGGGTCAGTGCTAGCCTAGGGTTGGGTATCGTTTGGGTTTTTTTCGATACCGGTGCCAAATCGATACTTTTAAAATGGTTCCGGTGCCTGAACCGATACTTATTGAAAAATAAATAAATACAATTCCCCCCAAAAATGATGGATTGGCCATCAGCATATAAACACATGTCTAGTCACAGAAGTAGGAACTTGTGACCCTCCAGGAAATCCCTTATATGGACAAAGGCATCATTATTATAGCTGTAACTAAGTAAACAGAACATATAAACGTTTTGAA